ACTCTCGGGGTTTCTCCAGTCTCCTTTAAGCCAGTAAATCTGGTCTTTTTTTTTGTGAGTTAGAATTTTGTTCTACATCCTTCTCCAGCTCTGTCCAGAACCCTCTGTTGTGAGACCTTGGACAATTTTTATTTAACCTCTCTCCGTGTTAATTTCCTCAGTTGTATAATGGGTGTAATAGTAGTACCTACCTGATATGGTAGTTGTGAGGATTAAACGAGATAATGCATGTAAAATATTCAACATGATGTCTGCTGCATAGTTAGTGCTCAGTAAATTTTAACTATTACTATCTATGCATTCCTGGAGTCTCTGGGTGGTACAAGCAGTTAAGTGGTCGACTGCTACCTAAAGGTTGGTAGTTCCAGCTCACCCAGAGGCACTTCGAAAGATAGGCCTGGCAGTCTGCTTCTGAAAGGTCACAGCCTTGAAAACACGGGGTCGCCATGAGTCAGAATTGACTAGACAGCAACTAACAACAAGAACAACAGCATGCATTCCTAAATTTACAAACATGTTTTCTTCCCTGTGTTCATTTGTAAATGGATTTATTTGAGATAAACTTGTATTACCTGTAGAACAGATTTTTATAATCTGCCTAAGGGAGCCTAGGTAGTGCTCAGTATTTATATGAGAAAATTATTCAGAATTCCACTTTGGGGCTCCTCCCCTTTGCACTCTCAGCAGGGAAAGTGAAGTTTCTAGCAGCATGGTACAGCAGTGAGAGAGCAAGAAAGAAATACAAATAAAAATTTTTACTGTGATCTATGGAAAAGGAGGTTAGAACAGAGGTCCTCAGCCTGAGATCCACAGCTTCAGAGAGTCCATGCATTCTGTGAAATTATACGTAGAAACATTTTCTATATGTGAGTTTTTTTTTTTCTTTGAGACATAACCCATTAAGAGCTTGTCAGTTTTCCTGTTATACTCTAGGGATTTACTTTGTTTCTAGGTTTTTGATGAGATGTTGGCATTTATTTTGATGAATAAACTAGGTTCTGTTCATGCAAATGCAGTTTTGCTAAAAGGAACAAATCTGGCACTCTGTATGGTCTGTATTAATTTCCAGATGTCTTTGTCATCAAAACCTTCCATTTATATTCAGTACATTAGCCAAAGTTACAAACCTTTACTACTCTTATTTTGTGAAATAAATATTAATTCAATACTATCATCGTAATTACAGAATTATAACTAATAAGTAACAGTCTGAAATCCATAATATCTCATACACCCAGCCATCTAAATCAGCCATTTCCAAAGTGGCCATTAATATTTAAGAGTGGTGTGTAAAATGGAACTCTAGTACCTTTCTGATATATAATACTATTTCCAGATTCAGTTTATTAGTCTTTTCAAAAAAAAATGATGCTTCTCTTCTTCCATGTAAGATTTCAATTTAAATCCCACTTAGATTGATAAGTCCTTTGCCAAAATGTTCTTCCTGAACTTTTTAATATCAACTTTATTCTCTGCCAAGAAGCTGCCACTGTGTTACTTTAAACTGTGGTCCAGAAAATCATATCTTATTCTTCAATATCATATTTCATTTTTTATTTTCTTTCTCTTCCAGAGGTTAACTATGTTCTTAAATGTTTTTGTTAACCAAGAACTTAAAAATCACTAAAAATACCTCCAAAAGTTAGATTCACCAACCTCGCTCAGTACTTCAGTGTGGTCCTTACTAGCAAGAAGTATTTCTTTATAATTAATGTTTCTCATGTTTTAAGATTTTTATTTTGCTTCCATAAAAGAAAAACAGTTGACCTTTTTTAGTACAGAAAATATTTGTGTGATTAAAGTATTTATGGAAAAGTATTGAGGATCCCTAGATGGTGCAAATGGTTTGCAGTTGACTACTAACCTGAAGGTTGGTGGCTCAAACCCCCCCAGTAGTACTGCAAAAGAAAAGCCCAGTGATCTGCTTCTGTAAAGATTACAGCCTAGAAAATCCTATGGAGCAGTTCTATTCTGTGACGCATGGGGTCACCATGAGTCAGAATTGACTCAACAGCAACAGGTTTGGTTGGTTGGTTGGTTGGTTTTTTAATTGAAGTTAACAGGGCAGTGGTGGTTCAGTGGTATAATTTTCATCTTCGTACAGGAGACCTGAGTTCAATTCCCGGCCAGTGCACTTCATGCATACCCAACATCCATCTGTCAGTGGACAGTTACATGTTGCTATTATGCTGAACAGGTTTCAGCAGAGCTTCCAGACTAAGACAGACTAGGAAGAAAGGCCTGGTGTTCTACTTCCAAAAATCAGCCAGCGAAAAGCCTATGGATCACAACAGTCTGACCCACAACCAATCATGGGGATGGCACCGGACCCAGCAGCGTTTTGTTCTGTTGTGCATGGGGTTGCCATGAAACAGGGGCCAACTTGACAGCCACTAACAACAACAACATTGAATTTAAGGGACTGAACTGTTGAGTTAGACTGCTTGAGTTTGAATTCCAGCTCTACCGTTTTATGACTGAGTGACCTTGGGCAAGTTTCTTAACTTCTCTGTGCCTCAGAAGTTGTTTCTAAAGTCATTTCTTTACCTGTAAAATGGGGAGACTAATAGCACCTAGCTCATGGAGAGGTGGTGAGGATTAAATGAGTTAAAAGCAGTTACTAACGTTGTTGTTGCTTTTGTTAATATTGCCTCAAAAATTTTTATAGTAATCAGTTTCCATTTTATTTTGTTGGGCTTTATTTTCTATACTTTAATAATTTTAGGATGTATCTATGTTTTGTTTTCCTAGAAACCCAAGCATGGAATAGAGACAAGATCTAATTCTAAATCCTGGTTTGGCTCTTTATTAACCACGTCCTTTGACAAGTTTTTAAGCTTTTAAGTTTCAGTTTGCTCATATTTAAAATGGGGATAATAGGAAAACCTACATCATAAGCATAATGTGATGATTACATGAAATATACGTATAACCTGTTGCTGTCTAGTCATTTCTGATTCATAGCGACCCTGTAGGACAGAGTAGAACTGCCCCGTAGGGTTTCCAAGGAGCAGCTGGTGGATTTGAACTGTCAACCATTTGGTTAGCCGCCAAGCAGTGTGCCACGAGGACTCCATGTGTGTATACATATGTATACATATGTATACTCCATATATGTATACATATGTATACATGTATGTATATGTATATATGTGTATGTATATATATATGTATACACACACGCACACATATATATAGGTATGTGTGTATATATATGTCCTTTGTCAGTACTTGGCTTGTAGTGGTAGCTGTTACCATTAAATGTCCTAGTAAAGGCTGAATCAGTTTTGAGTACTAAGAAGATTATTTCTTGGTTATTAAATATGCTTCTTAATTGTCTTTGTGCAACTGCATTACATTTAGACTCTATCTTTTTCCACAAGGTGTACTTACTTATGTAAACAATAAATATCTTTTCGCCTAATCTAACTTTGTCAGTTTCTGAGCACTGGCCCAGTCAACTAAGATTATTTTCATTTGAATCATTGTCTTTAAAAGACTAATTTTGCGTGTTCTCCAAGCTGGGATGGGAGGTATCTTACTCAGTTGTATCAGGGTCAAACATTCGACAATTTGCAATCTAGTGAGAACAGCAATGGCTACTGAAGAGCTAGTCTGCCATATTCTAGGACATCTCAGAATTACAAGGAGCATTATAGGGGTCTAGAAGACCCTGGGAGGGTTGGTCAGTCCATGGAAAATTGAAATGGGAAGATTATTGCCCTCAAAATTTCCCTCTAGCCTCTCCATCCAGCCTCTAGAGATGACTTTGAGTTGAAAATGGATCCCTTTTGTGACTAAATTCCATCCCCCATTCTTAATGGTTCCAGAATATGAAGATGAGGTCACTTTAGACTTTTTTATCTCTTTCTCATTCTCATTAGTGTACATACAAGCCAATAAGTGGATGTATTTGTTCCTTCCAACATACCCGTTTCTAATAGGCTTATTGAAATAGGAATTGTACATCATGGTTTGGGAATGAGGCCTTCTGACTAATACTAGTAAGCTCTGTTTTTCTACTTAATGCTTTCCATAGATTTTTAGGTATCCAAGGCTTTTTATTAGAAATGAACAAAATTTGAGTGAGTTGCATGGAGTTAATACTGCCTTTTTTCTTCAGTGGGGACACACATATTTTAGAAAAGTTTATTTTTCTCATGAGAAGTTTTATATAATCCAAATACAGGCAGTCCCGGAATTACAAATGAGTTCCCTTGCTAACTCTGTCTTTTAAGTCGAATTTGAATGTAAGTCGAAACAGTTAGGTATGATCTGTATCTAACAACAGTCAAATATTTGTCTTCGTATATTGTATATAGTGTACCTTTCTATACATAAAAAACATTAAACACCTCCAGATACACTAAAACATCTTTAACATAATAATACAGTAGTAATAATAATAATAATGTTTTAATGCATGTCTCAGAGTAGCACCCGTTTGTTACTACGAACCATTGTATGTACCTCGAATTTCTCATACAATAAGCTTTACGGGGTTGGTTCATAACTAGGGGTTGTATGTAAGTCAGACATTCATAACCCAGGGACTGCTTGTAGCAAAATTTGTTCAAACTATGAAAATTATTTAGTGATCATGCAATATAAATTCATATTTATTCTGCTTTGTTTTATAGGTTTTTTGAGTTATTGGCGTGGCAATTTGGCAAATGTTATCCGGTATTTTCCAACACAAGCTCTGAACTTTGCTTTTAAGGACAAATACAAGCAACTTTTCATGTCTGGAGTTAATAAAGAAAAACAGGTAATTATATTTTAATGTCTAAAATTTTCTTAAAAATAATTGGACTTGTCTTACCTTTGATGGAAACTCTGGTGGCATAGTAGTTAAGAGCTACGGCTGCTAACCAAAACATCAGCAGTTTGAATCCACCAGGCATTCCTTAGATACTATGGGGCAGTTCTACTCTGTCCTAGGTCACTATGAGTCAGAATCGACTCTATGGCAATGGGTTTGGTTTTTGTTTGTTTTTTTTTAGCCTTTGGTATTTTATTTGGGGAGGAGATGCTTGAGTGGTGGGAAAAAAATAACATATTAACTGTTAATATAATATTATGAAGTTATGTAAATTATATCTGAAAAATAGAATTATATTAACTTATTCAAGTTTCTCTAAATCTCTTTAATAAGAAAGGGATCTTTTGTCTCAAGGCATTATTTCTCTGAATAAATATTAAATTTAATGTAATTTACATCTTATAATCACTATTCTATTGGGGAAATTTAGCGTTTTATCTGCTTAAGCAAAAAAACAGTCAACAGATATGTATTTTCTGCCACTGATGTAATTTATTCTCTAAAGAAGTAAATTGTGTTCTTGTTTATGATTTAGGGTCTATCAAACAAAACCAGAAAATGAAGAATTCTTTCTCTTTTTTTAATTGCAGAGTTGCTTTTTTTGTTTTTGTTTTTTTCCAGGTAATAACTCCCTTAGTTACAAAAATCTCAATTTCAAAATTTCCTACTCATATGAACTACCATGTTTTCACACAGATAACGCATACCTTCGACCTTTGTTAGCCAACTGCTCCATCCCCCATGAGGTATTTTTGTAAGTACCACTATGCTAAATTTTTTTACTTTTTGCGGTAAAGAATTAGCATAGCACACTTATAAAAATACCTCAGTATATGTCGTCTTCTGGTTTCTTACTTGTGTTGTTGCCTTGATACACACTATACCACCTACATTACTCCCAGAGTGTTCCCTCACCCTTAGAAACGCTCTTTCCCTCTCACCCTTTTTTCCTCCCTCCACACCCCCTTACAAGCTATCTTAGCAGATTTTTCCAAAGCAACTGTCTGTCTGTGAAACATTTCTTTGTTGCTATCTCCTTTCATTTATACTCCTTACGCCCTTTTTCTTACAACTTATTTCACTTAAAAAATGTTTATTGAATGTTTTACACTGTCTTACGTATGGAGGAGGGCATAAAGGTAACTAAGAAAACTCTTCAGACTTGTAATCAGAAGATCTGAATTTGGATCCTGGCGCTCTGCTTATTTAGTCATGTGTTATTGAAAGTCACTTCAATTTTCTAATCCCTAGTTTTCTCACCTGAAAATTGAACATAATAATACCTACCTCATAGTTTTATTGTGATAGGTTCAGATAGGATTACATGTAAAGTGCTTAGCATAGTGCTGTACTTTATGGTGGGCACTCAGTAAAATGTTCCTGTCTTTGTTAACTGACAACTCTAATAATTGAAACTTCCTTTGACTCAGAATCTTTCCTCCTCCCTGTGTCAGAAACTCTCAAGACCACCCTTAGGTTTGATGATTCACCAGAAGGACTCACCAAACTCAGAAAAACTTTTATACTCATCATTAGTTTATTACAGCAAAAGGACACAGATTGAAATCTTAAAGGGAAAAGGTACATAGGGCAGAGTCCAGGAAAAACCAGGTGCAAGCTTCCAGTTGTCTTCTCCCAATGGAGTCACATGGACAGCACTTAATTCTCCCAGCAACCATGTCTGACAACATGTGTAAAGTGTTGCCAACCAGAGAAACTTCACACAAACGTTGGTGTCCAGGGTTTTTGTTGGGGATCAGACACATGAGCATAGAGCGTGACTGACAGCTACTTAGTCTCCAGCCCCCACCCACCCCATCCCCAGAGGTCAAACTGACCCAGCATGCTCCAAGCCCCAGACATAAAAACAAGCATTCACCAAGCAAATGTATAGAGACCAAAGGTTATTCATGGTTATTAGGGGTGGGCAGGATGGGGAAAGGGGGAGTCATTGCTTAGGAGGCCCTGAATTTCTGTTAATGGTAGTGGGATAATTTGGAAAAAGATGGTGGTAATGGTGGCACAGCATTATGAATATAATCAGTGTCACTGAATCGTACATGTAAAAATTGTTGAAATGGAAAATGTTTTGTTTTAAATATTTTTAACACAATTAAAAAAAAAAACAAGCTTTCACCATAAATCAAATTGTTAGCATAAACTATTTGACGTGGCCCAAAGCCTCAGCTGTACAAAGACACTGTTATCAGGCAAGATATTCCAAGGGCTCAGAGGTTATCGCTCAGAAGCCAGTCATCTGGCCAGTCCTGAAGACCTTTGGTGTGTGCAGGTTTGGGCAGCCCAAGACTGTTAAACCTTTATTGCACACTTCCCAGCCCACCTCCGCAAAAAGATAGTTTCTACAGGACTAAGCCCAAATGGAACAATTAACTCTTGAATTAACCAGAGTATTTATTTATTAACATCTGTTCTAACTGTAGATAGCATGGCCCTAAATGTTTTATAAAAGTTAACTTTGATACTTGTGAAAAGTCTGTAGTAAATCCAAATTAGTAGAGCCTCAGCTGAAAACATTTTTAGTATGCCTATAAAAAGCATGCTATCTTGTATAGAATGTAAAGGTATTCAGTTATGATTAAGTAATTATATAATATTTAAATGTGTATTATTTGCTAAATTTAGGTATTTATGACCCATTTATTTCTACCCTTGGACATCAAAATTTTATCTCATCTCTACCCCACCCCTAAAAAAAATTAGTGAAGAAAAATAACTAAAAAAGAAAAATCAGTATTTTTGGTTTCTCACCTGTTTTTAAAGAAGCAGGGAAGATTGAACAAACAAACACAGTGTGTGAGTTTAAAAGTCATTAATCTACCATAATGAGATATCATGACAAACCTATCAGAATGGCAAAAATGAAACTAGAGAGAATATCAAATGATTTGAGGATGCAGAGAAACAATCACTCTTACGTCTCTGATGGGAATGCAAAATGATACTGCCACTCTGGAAAAGAGTATGGGCAATTTCTTACAGACTAAACATGTCATTTACCATAAGACCCAGAGATTGAACCCTTGGGCATTTATCCCAGAGAAATGAAAACTTATATTCACAGAGGAAGACCCAGTGTACACAATGTTAATAGCAGGTTTTTTCATAATAGGAAAAGTTGGAAACAACAAGGATGTCTTTCAACAGGTAAATGGTTAACACACTGTTGTATCATACCGTGAAATACTGCTCAGCAGTAAAAAGGAACAAACTTTTAATCCATACAGCAAATTTAGATGCTAAGTAAAAAAAGCTATATCAAAGATTATATACTATCTGATTCCATTTATGTAATATTCTTGAAATGACAAAGAGATGGAAAACAGAATAGTGGTTGACAGGAAAAGGGGGGAGTCTGTAGCTATTAATGGGTAGCATGAGGCATCCCTAGGATGGAACTGTTGACTGTTGCATCGGTCACATGGATCTGCACATGTGATAAAACTTCGTAGAACTAAATCACATACAAAGTGTCAGGATTATGTAAGACTTGAAATCTGAATAAATTAGGTTTTTATTAATGTCAGTTTCCTGTACTGTAGTTTTGCTAGATGTTACCATTGGGGGAAATTGGTCAAAGAGTTTATGGGATCACTGTATTATTTCTTACAACTGCGTGTGAATCTACAGTTATTTCAAAATAAAAAGGTTTTAGAAATAGCTATGGTAAAAACCAAAACCAAACCCGTTGCCGTTGAGTTGATTCCAATCATAGCAACTCTGTAGGTCAGAGTAGAACTGCCCCATAGGGTTTCCATGGAGCAGCTGGTGGATTTGACCTGCTAACCTTTTGGTTAACAGCCATAGCTCTTAACCACTGCACCACCAGGGCTCCCTAGCCTTGGTAAGGGAGGTGTATATCATATATTGTTTCACTGAATTTTCACCTCTCACTGTGAGGTAGTTGTTTTTATCCTAAATGTACAGATAAGGGAAGCGAAACTCAAAGCTTAAAGTACTTGCCCAAGTAATTTGTTCATGTCTTTCTAACTCCCAAACTCAGGTCCTTCCACCACACTCTACTCTTCTCAGCTTGGCTGAGTAGACTGGCTGAGCCTCTGTTGGGCCTGGGCATAAAATTTCTCTGCCGCCCCTTAGGAGCTTCCAGCACAATCCTTGACAGAGAAGACTAGAGCTTCTCCTCGCTCTCTTTGCATAAGACAAACTTTGTTAGAAGGAACTTTGCTCCCAGGGCATTTGTTCTTGCATACATCATTGGGTTCCCTCACAGTTACCTATTCGTCGGCAGTTGAAAGTGAACAGGATTATTTTCCTTCAAAACCTTCAGACTCCTCTTTCATCTTTCTCTTGCTTCCCGATTCCTCTCCATCCATTCCCTCTCCTTTAACAAGACTTGAAATTACTAACTTATAATAACTGAGACTCATTTATACTGATACATTACCTCTCCTGGGTCTATTTTCTTTTCGAGGTTAGTGTAGAAGGACAGGTTTCATCCATTACAGAAACACTTACGGGATTAAGAGTCAGCACAGACAAATCCCTCCTTCCCTCCCTCTCTCTTTCCCTTCCTCCCTCCTCCCTCCCTCTGCTCCCTTCCCTTTTCCCTCCCCTCACTAGGGTTGGCCATCCTATTTACGTGTTGTGCCTGCCTGCATCATTTTTTCATAGCTCCTACTTTCACTATCAAAAGTGTGCTGGTTTGAATAATGAATTTTATGATAATCTATGCAAAAAGGCATTGATCTACCTTCTTTCTCTTACATGGGACAGGAAAAAGGTTAAGCAGAATTTAATATCTGCTTTATAAACCTTTATGCTATACTTCATGTTTAATTTGACTTATTTGATTGTAAGAAACAGATTCACTGAAATTACTTCAGGAAAAGGGGGTTTATTGTAATGATACACCAGCACTGGAATTGGAACCAAAGGCAGCCCTAGGGATCAAACAGTATTCTTCATCCTTCCCTCTGAGGTGACCTGGTCTATCTCTCTAATGAACTGCTTTTTTGTGGGTGTGCTTGCTTTGTTTTCTTATCATTACCTACCTCTTTTGTTTATGTACATTTTCTTATTCCTTTAAGTTCAGTGTTAATATCATGGAGGTCCCTTCTGTCCTTTCTCTGAGTCAAAGGTTCTTAAACTGGAATCCATGGATGCTTTAGGTATACATTGAACACACCAAAAGTGTATGTTTATACATGTGTTTTTTTTCCCCTTGGGAGAGGTCTGTAGTTTTCAACAGTCTCAAAGTAATCTGAGACCTAAAAAAAAAAAATCAGTAACTTTTCTATTTCTGTCCTTACTACAGACTGGCGTAGAATCTCTAAAGTCATATTTCCAAGAAAGAGACTTTGACCCAACTCATCTTTTTCTACCAGGTTACAGATCATCTCTGCATTAGCTACCTTCGGGTCAGTTGCAGTCTCCTGTCTACCTCTGTATAATTGTGAAACATGTACAATAGAACCAATGAGTTTTACTTGAAAGGAGCCATGGGAAGCTGGGAACAGTAATTGGCATTCCCAGTACAGTTCATTAAACCAGTACTTGTTGAAATATGTTCCTCCAGGCAAGACCCAATGACTTGCTCTGTGAGACAAAAAGATGAATTACAAATACTAGCCTCCAAAAAATGGAAACAACCCAAATATTCGTCAACTGATGAATGGATAAATAAAATGTGGTGTGTTCATACAATGAAATATTATTTGGCAATAAAGAGGAATGAGATACTGATAACACCTACAACATGGATGAACCTTGTAAACATTATCTAAGTGAAAGAAGCCAGTGACAAAAGGCTACATACTGTGTAATTCCGTTTATATGAAATTCCAGAATAGGTAAATCTATAGAGATAGAAAGATTAGTTGCCTAGGACTCGGGGGAGGGGTGTTAAGACAGGGAGTGACTGCTAATGGGTACAGGGTTTCCTTTTCGGGTGATGAAAATGTTCTAAAATCATGGTGATGGCTGCACAACTCTGTGAATATACTAAAATTGCATTGAATCATACGCTTTACATGGGTGAATTGTTAGGTATGTAAATTTATTTCAATAAATCTATTACATAAAAAGTAATAATAATCCTAACTTCAAGAAATGTGTACCCTGTAGGAGATACAACAAGACTTGTCCACACATTATAAATTGAAAGTAGAAAGTGGTTGTATTATTTTCAAAAAAGATGAGAATCTGTAACAAACACATTGACACATTTTACATATTGGTCATGTGATTTATCTTTAATTCTCTGAGAGATGAAGTATTTATGGGAAGAGTACGATTGCATACAGTTTTGGAAGGGTTGGACATCGGAGAGGATTTTGCAGAAGAGGTAGAACTTGAATTAGAGGATGAAGCCACAGATAACATTTTTTGTTTAAAAAGATAGGAAGGGCATTCTAGGCCAAGAGTAAACCGAGAGTTCTAAATGTGAGACTTAAAACTATTGTTAGAAATAACAGCAGGACAGTAAAGCAAGAAACTGAGTGTGACTAGAACATTTTTCACTTTAATGTATATAATGGTTACAGTGGCCATGTGGCCTGGATTTTCCAAAGCAGCTCCAGTTCAAATATTCCTTTCTTTTTCCATACATTCTTCGTGCTGAAATATTTGTATTGGAGCTTTTATAATTGATTTTTGCCAATTTTCATATCAGTATTTGAACATAATTAAATGTATTTTTGAGCCGTTCAAATTTAATTGTACGAAAATTACACTGTGAAATTGGGGCACTATGAAATATTGCCATCCCCCACTCCCGTCCTGCACAAAAAAAGGGCACAACTAAAGCCTCCATATATGTCTGACATTTTAGTTACTAGCTAACACTATTATTAACAAAAAGTTCATACAGTCTAAAGGAATGATCATCTTATATGTGGCCTCTTTTGCTTAACTTGGGCTGCTTTTCTAAGAAAACAAAACCAGTTGTCACTGAGTCAATATCAACTCATGGCAACCTTGCAGAGTAGAGCTGTACTCCATAGGGTTTTCAAGGCTATGACCTCAGAAGCAGATCACCAGGCCTTTCTTCTGAGGCACCTCTGGATGAGTTTGAACCACCAACCTTTCAGTTAATAGTCAAGCGCAGAGATCATTAAAATATCCTGGAATTTCAGTATGTCAGCACCTAAACTACATCACTCATCTGCGTGATAAGAAACAAAGGCTACATGGATATGAAGAGAAGTATTTTGGGTTTCTCTCCATATCCAAATAAAAACTTTTATCTACAAGCTCATTAAAGTTTGTTTAGTATCTACTGAGGAATGTAATAAAGCAGTAGATCAGTCAAAAAGAACTTGGAAGAAGATAACTTTTAATATCTGATAACATTTAGATTTTAAAACCTAAATAAATATACTACCTTCATTTCCTCCATCTTAAATTGTTCCTTATGTATTCATTTTTTAAAGAAAGGTTACTATATTTTGTTATAAATGTTTACTTTATAAAAGCAATTTGTAAATCTGGGTTTTCAAAACCTCTATAGAAATAAGAATTTACCAGCTGTTTTAAATAGTCAGGTTCTGTAGTTTAATAACCACTTTTTAATTAATACGTTTCAGTTCTGGAGGTGGTTTTTGGCAAACCTGGCTTCTGGTGGAGCTGCTGGAGCAACATCCTTATGTGTAGTATATCCACTAGATTTTGCCCGAACCAGATTAGGTGCTGATATCGGAAAAGGTACGGGGTTTTTAGAAATAAATTCTCTGTTTTTTGAACTATGCATTATTTATTGTAGAGTTATGCTATAACAACCATGTTAGCAGATACAGCCTAAAATTTTTATTTTCAGCCAAGTGGTACTCATAGGGGCGAAAGTATACTACTTTATTTTCCCCCCTCAAAAGGTGGGAAGGGGAAGACCAACACTGTATGTTGCAAACACAAAGACTACTAATGCTTTACTTCCATTTTTTTCCTAGAGAGCCAACTCCTAAATCCTTCCATGTGCTTAACTCCTGTATCGACTGTAGATGCTGTCTAGATTAATGTACAACTTTCATCCTAGGGATTCTTCTTGCCTTCTTTTTTATTTATCACATCTTCCTATGTATGTTCCTTGGTAGCTTTCTGAGAGTGAATAGGACATAAATTGAGATCTTGCATGTCTAAAAATGCCTCTGATTTACTCTCTTGATTAATATCTGGCCGTATATATAATTTTGAATTTAAAGTCATTTTCCGTCACAATTTTGAAAGCATTACTCTGGCTTCTCGTTTTCAGCGTTGCTTTTAATAAATTGGATCTCTGTCTTACTCCTGATCGTTTCTATCCCTGATGAGCTGACATTTCACAATAATGTACCTTGATGTGATTATTTTTTTCAATAATTGTGAAGGTTACTCAATAGGCACCATTCAGCGTGTAGACTCATATTCAGTTCAGAGAAGTAAGTGACTTGGCTGCTTAGGGTGAGGGTGAGGATTTTGAGCATCCAGCTGCTTCCCTGCTTTCACTCTAGGGATAGTATTTAGTTCCTCTAATTTCTGCGTCTTTTCTGGGGTTACTGGAGGAAAATGACTTCCAACAAAATCCTCCTGTACAACTAAATTTTAGACTTCTGGGCAACATGATGCTGTAGACAGAAGCACCACACCATCCCTCCAAAGCAAAGATCCAAAAAACAAAGCCAAACAGAGAAAACGGCAATCCTGAAACCCTGAGCATCAGTGAAAAGATAAAGAACACAGCCAAGCACCAAATGGAATAAGAAACTGACAGAGAACAGAGAGTGAGGACAGATACATGCAGAGGTCCCCTATCAGCTAACGCAGCACAGATCCACCATCTTGGACGCCTATCAGAGATCAGCGAATGGGGTACGAGAAAGCAGCTTCACAGAGCTTCCTGCAGGAGACAGAAAAACCTGTAACCAGTGATATACGCTTTCCCAAGCCCCTCCCACTTCACCCCCACTCAGCCTCCTGTTTCCTGCGGCCACAGTCTTAGCCAGGAAGCATCAGCTTCACCCTAGTGTTGCTTGGATCCACCTGCCTGCACTGGCCAGCTCCCTGAGTGTCATTTGTTGGCTGCTGGTGTTGCTTTTTTCCGCTTCTTTTGATTTCTTCCATACCTCTCACCACTTCCCCCTCCTTTCTGTCAAATACCTGGCTCCATGTGCCATCCTTGCTTCCTTCTGAAAGGCTGTGAAACGCCACTCGAATGTGAAACTGCTGCTCAGCCTGTGCTGCCACACTGGTGAGATACTGGGGCTTTTTTGTTTGTTTGTTTTAAATTGCTTGTTTGTTTTTCTTTTTCTCTTCTCAAATTGGGAGCCCATTCTAGCCAGGCAGTATTGCATGGCTTGGGACCTACCTCCTCAGTTTGTGCAGGCACACAGAGGGATCCCTGAGAGCATTTATTTTTTCTTTTTTTTTTTTCTTTCTGTTTTTTTTTGGGGGGGGAGGTTCTTGTTCTTTTGTTTGTTTGTTTTGTTTTGTTATGTTTTCTGTATTTTTCCCTTTTTATCTTTCTTCATTACTCAGTTCCTCATCTCTCTATACTTACTTTCTCTTCCTGTCTCCTAAATACCTGGCATTGAATGACACCTCTACCCCTTATAACCAGGCTGTACTTCACGGCCTGGGAGCAACTTCCCTAGGCCTCGCAGCTGCACCGGTGGGATCCCTGTGAGATTTTCTTTTCTTTTTTCTTTCTAATTTTTATTTATTTATTTATTTTCTTTTTTTTCTTTCTTCTTCCTCTCCTTTTTGTTTTTCTCCATTTCATAGTCTCTCATCTCTCCACTCCAACAGCAAGCTCCCTTAGCATCTTTTTTGTTTGTATGTTTTTGGCTCCTCTTCCTCTCTCCTCTCTCTCCCCTTTCCCATACCCATCTTAGCTCCACACATCACAATATCCCCCCTCCATCCTGCCTACCTGCACCATATGCTGAACATCACACCCCAAGCACCAGAGGCAAGGCCTACCAAAATCTGCTCTGCACTGATTCCCGGTCCGCCCTGTTGGCCCTAGTACATGCCACAAACAACCCATACCAGCAGTTCCTCTTCAGCTACACCTGCCCTGCTGTAGCATATATGAGTGACTGACCCTGCCAATTGGAGAAGGAGGCAAAAAGCATTGTGTCCACAGATGAGTAAACAACAAAGAGCACACAGCCTGCCTGCTCAGACATAGCCAAAGAAAACAAAAAAGTGGGATGAAACAAACAAATCTACAATCAATAAAAGAGGAAAAGAACTACCGAATGCCCCGAAGAGAGCAGACAATATCAAAACATATACAAAAACAGGACAGGATGGTTCCAGTAAGCATCCAAAATAAAACACCAGATGACTTTCCAGTAGAAGAAAAGGCACTAGAACTACCTGATAGGGAATTCAAATCTCTAATACTCAGAATTATCCAAGAGTTGAAGCAAAAAGCAGACAAAAATGAGGAAAAAAATAGACAAATTTCATGGAAAAGGCAGACAAATTCATGGAAAATACAGACAAAAAAATGGAAGAATTCAGAAAAATAATGCAGGAACAAAATGCCAAAATAAATTCACAACTAGAAATCATACAAAGCCAACAATTAGAAATCCAAAAGATAACAAGGTTTCAGAAATGGACAGTGTCATGGAAGGGCTGAGGAGCAGGTTTGAAACGGTGGAAGACGGGATCAGTGAACTTGAAGACAAACACTTGGATACAAGTCTGTTTGAGGAAAAATCAGAAAAAAGAAAAATGAAGAGACCCTGAGAATCATGTGGGATACAATCAAAAGCAAAAGTTTGTGAGTGATCAGAGTTCCAGAACAGAGGGAGAAAACAGAAAATACAGAAAGGATCATTGAAGAACTGCTGACAGAAAACTTCCACAATATCGTGAAAGATGAAAAGCTGGCCATCCAGGAAGCTCAATGAACCCCATATAGGATAGACCCCAAAAGAAAATCACCAAGGCATATCATAATCACACTCGCCAAAACCAAAGACAAAGAATCCTGAGAGCAACTCATGAAAAACAAAAAGTCATATACAGAGGAGAAACAATAAGACTAAGCTCAGATTATTTGGCAGAAACCATGCAGGCAAGACGGCAATGGAATGACATATATAAAAACTTGTAAGAAAAAATTGCCAGCCAAGAATAATGTATCCTGCAAATTGTCTCTCAAATATGATAATGAAATTAGGACATTTCCAGATAAACGGAAATTAAGGGAATATGTAAAAACCAAACCAAACTTACAGGAATTATTAAAGGGAGTCCTTCAATCTGAGAACAAACAACATCAGCTCACAGGCTCAATCTAGGACACAGGATCATACCAGCCAGATACCAGCCTAGGAAATGAACTCTCAAGGACTGTCCAAAACCAAAAGAAATACAACAGGGAATCAGAGCAGTTAATCTGTAAATGACAACAACATCAGAACAATAAAAGAGGGAATAAACAGTATAGGTATAGAACCTTCTAATGGAGAGGAAGGCAAGGCAATACGAAGTAATAATAGACTGCCTCAAACTTAGGAAGCTAAGGGTAAATTTCACAGTAACCACAAAGAAAGTTAACAAACCTACTCATCAAAATAAAGAGGAAAAACATAAAGTCTCACTAAAAACAAAACTTACAAAAAAGAAATGAAAAAACAAAATCCACAAACGAAAGGAACTCAGCACAGGAGAGTAAGAGGAGCAAAGAAAATGTCAGCATCACAAAAAAAAGCACTACAAAATGACAGCAATAAAGTCACATCTATCAATAATTACACTGAATGTAAATGGCCTAAATGTACCCATAAAGAGATGGAGAGTGACAGAATGGATTAAAAAAAAACAGGATTCATCAATTTGCTGTCTACAAGAGACACACTTTAGAAACAAAGACGTAAGTTTATTAAAAATCAAAGGATGAAAACAAATCAAGAAAACAACCACCAAAAAAGAGCAGGAGTGGCAACACTAATCTCAGATAAAATAGACTTTAAAACAAAATGCACCATAAAACACAAAGAAGGACACTATATAATGATTAAGAGGACAATCCATCATGAAGACATAACCATAATAAACATCTATGCACCCAGTGACAGGGTCCAAAATACATAAACTCTAACAGCATTGAAAAGAGAAATTGACAGTTCCGGGATAATAGTAGGAGACTTCAACACGCCACTCTCGGTAAAAGAACATCTGAAAAGAAACTCAACAAAGATACAGAACACCTAAAGGGCACAATCAGCCAACTTGACCTCATAGAAATATATAGAACACTCCACCTTACAGCTGCAAAGTACACATTCTTTTCGAATGTACATGGAACGTTCTCCAGAATAGACTACATCTTAGACCACAGAGCAACCCTCGACAAGATACAAAACGTTGAGATAACACAAAGTATCTTCTTGAACCACAACGCCATCAAGGTACAAATTAACAACAGAAAGAGCAAGGAAAAAAATCAAGTACATGGAAACTGAATAACACCATGCTTACAAACCACTGGCGAATAGAAGAAATCGGAGATAAAATCAAAAAATTCCTAGAATCAAACGAGAATGAAAATACATCATACCAAAAACCTTTGGGACACAGCAAAGGCAGTCCTCAGAGAACAATTTATAGCAATAAATGCACACATCAAAAAATAAGAAAGGGACAAAATCAAAACATTAACTACACAACTCAAACAGAAAAAGTACAGCTAAAAAAGCCCACAGCCACCA